GCACGTAATTCAAACGCGTGGTTATTAGAGTTCAGTCGAAATGTACGTGAATATTGCGATCGAAGTGCGCTGTCCAGAGTTTATTATATTATAGTAAAATTTAAATTGATGCATAGTATGGTTTATTTTACATGTTCACTTCATTTCGAATAAAATAATTCACCATTGGAACATCGATGAATCACATGTATTTAAAATTGTTTTCTTGACTTTCCGTTGAAACCTGACTACTATCATTTTTAATGATTTAAATGCGCCCATGTTTATGTTTGCGTAATTATTACGAATTCAACGCATTATCAGGTCGATAATATTGAAATATTCACAGACCCAATACCCCGGGTCAGCATCCTAACAATAGTAAAAAATAATTTTGCGTAATTATCATGAAAGCAAACATTACACAATTGAAATATTTAGAGCCTGTGCAATATTGTAAACAAATTTGCCTAGTTAGAAAAGCAGTGAACTAAGTAAACAACGTTGATATATTCAAAGCCAGTACAGAGTTGCATACAAATTGCGTAATTTCAGTGCCGTCGGATATAATAAAAATTTTACTAGATCGACGCGCGAACCATGAACGAAAAAGGTTGCTAAGATAACGCGCCAGTCCAGTGCGTGACTTGGGGTCAAACTTCGGTCAACACACACTTGATGCCACCATCGCCGCGCAGCAAGTTTCGCAAAGAAGTACTTGAAGTTCAATTGCGCCCAAAATGATGTCGCTGATCACTCAGTTGTCGCAGCGTGTGTTGTGTTATGTCTATGATGCACCCAGTTTCGACTTTGGCTTGCTTTTCCTTAGTGCATGTTCTTGTTCACGTAAAATGCGACCTCTCACCAATGTATTGAAACACTTTAAATTTATACTTTGCATGATTATATTTGGTCAACGCGAAACATTATTTTTTCTAAACATTTTCTGAGACTATTTTTATCAATGCTGGGTTATTTTTCCAGACAATATGGGCTTCGTAATATCTGCCAAAACATCGCCCGGGCGATCTTTTGGTCCACATTTTTCTAAAAAAAAAACGAATCCTCCATAAGATCGCCCAGGGCGGGGTATTAGCCGAATCCGGTATATATATATATATATATATACAATGTAGCTCCAGAACTGCATTTATTACAAATAAATGGTGTCATAATGTTCAATGCATATATAATACCAAGTTTGAACAAAATCCATCAATACAGGACCAAGATCTGGTTCCAGAATGGCAGAAATGCTTGATTTTCATAAATTTTAGTACAAAAATGGCAGCCATTCTGCCATCTTGAATCAGATAATGAAAGGAAATGAATGGTCATGCATATGTCGTCCAAGAGGTGCGAGTGAAGTTTGAACGTGATTGGACCAGGTATGTCTGAGATACAAGTGGAGACACACACACATAGCAATCCATAAAACTCCTGTAAGATATTCAAGACCAACTGATATATAGCAGCAATGTCACATACCTTGCAAGTATCCATATGAAAACAGGTATTCAAAAATGAACAGTCTCCAAGCGATTCTGAAAAGTACAATTATTAATTAAATGTGTTAGGATGACAACACTTCTTACGCTCATAGCGCTTCACAACAGAGACATTCAACTTGTCCAGATCAATTAAGATCATGCTTCAATATTAGTGCAAGCATAGTTAATATAAACATCATTGTAGAGAAACAAATAACCTTGACATTGTTTATGTTTTATAAGTTTAATAGTACCAAAGTTTTGGATTCATCAACTGACTTATAGGATATGTCTATGAATTAGTGTTCCTTGGAGGTCACAAAATGAACTAATCTAATAGAAGTCCGCCTATGATACATAGGCGGACAAGTATCGCATTAACTGAACCAGCAGTCATTAAGAAAAAATCAAATTGCATTTTTTATTCAAAATGATAATATTTGCTAAAATTTAAGAATTAAAGATATTAACAAAAAATATTTTAATTTGATAGCAGTCTACCCAAACACATATCAAGCAACAGAATTTTCACAACAAATTATAAAGATTACAGAATTCAAGATATGATCACAAAATATCCAACCATGTGTAGATGTTTAGTGATGTGATTTGGACAACAATCTGTACATGTTTTGAATAACTATATGTATATATTTTGTGATGTGATTGGCACTGCCCGATTCTATTGTGTTCACTTCGCTGCCTGATTCTATTGTGTTCACTGCCTGATTCTATTGCCTGATTCTATTGTGTTCACTGCCAGGTTCTATTGTGTTCACTGCCAGGTTCTATTGTGTTCACTGCCAGGTTCTATTGTGTTCACTGCCTGATTCTATTGTGTTCACTTCACTGCCTGATTCCATTGTGTTCACTTCACTGCCTGATTCTATTGTATTCACTTCACTGCCTGATTCCATTGTGTTCACTGCCTGGTTCTATTGTGTTCACTTCACTGCCTGATTCTATTGTGTTCACTGCCTGATTATATTGTGTTCACTGCCTGGTTCTATTGTGTTCACTTCCTGATTCTATTGTGCTTGTTTCCTGATTCTATTGTGTTCACTGCCTGGTTCTATTGTGTTCACTGCCTTGTTCTATTGTGTTCACTGCCTGGTTCTATTGTGTTCACTGCCTGGCTCTATTGTGTTCACTGCCTGGTTCTATTGTGTTCACTGCCTGGTTCTATTGTGTTCACTGCCTGGTTCTATTGTGTTCACTGCCGGATTCTATTGTGTTCACTGCCGGATTCTATTGTGTTCACTGCCGGATTCTATTGTGTTCACTGCCTGGTTCTATTGTGTTCACTGCCTGGTTCTATTGTGTTCACTGCCTGGTTCTATTGTGTTCACTGCCTTGTTCTATTGTGTTCACTGCCTGGTTCTATTGTGTTCACTGCCTGGTTCTATTGTGTTCACTGCCTGGTTCTATTGTGTTCACTGCCTGGTTATATTGTGTTCGCTGCCTGATTCTATTGTGTTCACTGCCTGGTTATATTGTGTTCACTGCCTGGTTATATTGTGTTCACTGCCTGGTTATATTGTGTTTGTTTCCTTATTGTATTGTGTTCACTGCTTGATTCTATTGTGTTTGTTTCCTGATTCTATTGTTTGTTTCATGGTTCTATTGTGTTTGTTTCCTGATTCTATTGTGTTCACTGCTTGATTCTATTGTGTTTGTTTCCTGATTCTATTGTGTTTGTTTCCTGATTCTATTGTATTTGTTTCCTGATTCTATTGTGTTCACTGCCTGATTCTATTGTGTTCACTGCCTGATTCTGTTGTGTTCACTGCCTGATTCTATTGTGTTCACTGCCTGATTCTATTGTGTTCACTGCCAGATTCTATTGTGTTCACTGCCTGATTATATTGTGTTCACTGCCTGATTATATTGTGTTCACTGCCTGATTATATTGTGTTCACTGCCTGATTCTGTCATATTCATTGCCTGATTCTATTGTGTTCACTGCCTGATTCTGTCGTATTCACTGCCTGATTCTAGTGTTCACTGCCTGATTCTATTGTGTTCACTGCCTGATTCTATTGTGTTCACTGCCTGATTCTATTGTGTTCACTGCCTGATTCTATTGTGTTCACTGCCTGATTCTATTGTGTTCACTGCCTGATTCTATTGTGTTCACTGCCTGATTCTATTGTGTTCACTGCCTGATTCTATTGTGTTCACTGCCTGATTCTATTGTGTTCACTTCCTGATTCTATTGTGTTCACTGCCTGATTCTATTGTGTTTGTTTCTTGATTCTATTGTGTTCACTGCCTGATTCTATTGTGTTCACTGCCTGATTCTATTGTGTTCACTGCCTGATTCTATTGTGTTCACTTCCTGATTCTATCGTGTTCACTTCCTGATTCTATTGTGTTTGTTTCCTGATTCTGTTGTGTTCACTGCCTGATTCTATTGTGTTCACTGCCTGATTATATTGCGTTCACTACCTGATTCTGTTGCGTTCACTGCCTGATTCTGTTGCGTTCACTACCTGATTCTATTGTGTTCACTGCCTGATTCTATTGTGTTTGTTTCCTGATTCTATTGTGTTCGCTGCCTGATTCTATTGTGTTCACTGCCTGATTCTATTGTGTTCACTTCCTGATTCTGTTGTGTTCACTTCCTGATTCTGTTGTGTTCACTGCCTGATTCTATTGTGTTCACTGCCTGATTCCATTGTGTTCGCTGC